CATGAGAGGCTCAGAAAAAACAGCAAATCCACCCCAATGGCTCTATGAGCCCTTGGATTGCACTAAACTTTCCATGCTTGTAATTACACGTGTAATTTACGAGCATGTGAAATCAGAGGCTGCCCAGGCAGGGTTTGCCCTGGTGGACCCTGCACCCTCCTCCACATACTCCCAAGGCTGCCAGGCAGCGGGACTGCTGTCCTCCAAGAGCCCCACCTCAATGGGCTCAGTCACCCGGACAATCAGCAGCTTTCAGCCTTATGTCCTCTCCTCCCCCGGTAAAAGGACTCCTTCAAAAAAGCATCTTTTGAAGTGAGGATCCAAGTAGATAGAGGGAGACAAGGGTCCAGTGACACTTGTTCCAATGTTAGACAAGTCTTTCAGCTTTGTGTGCGCATGCTGCAAGCTTGAGACAACTGAGGGGACTCTCTCTCTATCCTCTGACTGCTTGTGAGAAGCAAGAAGCCAAGACCAATGCTTGCTAGCATCCTGCAGGACCTAACCTGTGGGTGGTAGGTTCAGGTTTCCTTCTGCACAAATGTGAAACAAAGGCTGACTTTGGAGTCCTCAGTAGTCTGCTGAGATTATGGTAGAGGACCTCCAGTGTTCTGGTCCTTTTTGACAAGAGCAAACAGATAGAATGACAAACTATGTATTTTAGGAAGAGAACAATTAACAATTTTGCCAACTAGCTGAGCACCAGATTCCAAAATGGGAAAAATAATAGGAAAAAAAAGAGGGTAAAGTGATTTGCCAATTAGAATTAACTATTAAAATACTATTTTCAAAACTGTACCTTGTGTTTTCATGCTACTACAGTTAATTCATCTCACTCAAACTGGATGAGTAATATGTATAGGCTGAGTACGTTAAAAAGGTGCAGGAAAATGACAACTGGTGTCCAGCCATTTGCTGTCAATGGTCATGTCAGAAATGGGACCTGAGTATAGACCAGGCAGAGAAAATGTGTCTTATTCATGTGTAACTGACCCAAAGGTTGTGTCTCAGACTAAATCAGGGCTCTTTCAAATTGTTTATGCACTGAAATTACTTGGGAAATCTTTCTGCCTAGGGCCCAACCCCAGCAACTCTAATTAAATTCGGGTATTAGAATGTTTGAATACTCCCAGCTTGTTATATTGAATAGCCATTCTTGAGAAACACTGGTCTATCTTTCTCAAGGAATTCAGACCAGTAAAGCTGGTTCTAGTACTTTCCAGAAGCTTTGATTCAAAATTCAGATATAAACTCAACCTAAAGATTTCAAATCACCAAGTATCTAAAGATTTTTCTCCTGGAGATAGATAGTACAATTTTTGTTATTTCCCCCTTTGGGATTAAACAATGTGTGTCCATGTGCACACCTAGGTCCATTCTTTGGTGTCAGCATCAGTGACCAGCTTGTACAGTGTACTGCTATCAAAGGTTTATCAAATTACAATAGCTTTCTAAAACATATTTCTGACTGATCTTTTAGTTCCAACTCTACCATTTAAAACATATTTCTGACTGATCTTTTAGTTCCAACTCTACCACTTATTTGCAGAAAGAAGTTTATTCTTTGACCCTGGGTATATGTAGATAACTTACCCTAGGCAACGCTTCCTAGAATAACACCCTTGGACAGTACGATCTCTCCTACACCTGAGGCAGCACAGCCTTGCTGTTTAAAAATGAGATATCATATTTTTACCTTCTCTCAGGACCCAAGTAAGACAGAGTTGTACAAGTTCCTTAATGACTGGCTCTTTGCTGATGGAATTCCACTCAAGCAGTTATGAGAATCAGGGCTGGAGTTTAAGGTCAAGTAACTCCAGCTCTTTTACACACATACACAGCAAAGGTTCACCTTTGCCAGGCAACAGAAATCACTGTCTCTTAATTGACGATTAGCAGAGAAGGCATATTCCAGATTCCCTACCAACCAGCACTAGCTTTTAGGACCTTTCATAATCAAGGACTCCTCTTTATGTCTGATTTAATTCACTCCTACAGATCATTAGTTAATGACTGTGGAGGGGATCACTACTGTGGCTTTATCTAATTTTGAAGGTTTATATCACCTTCATTTCAAGCACAGGGAGGTTGGGTATAGTATGCAATACTGTGACTTATTGAAACAATTCTATGCTCTCTTTTAAGATTTTAAAACCAAAGAACAGATAAGCGGTGGTAGGTGTAATCATTTTTGAAAATTCTTGCTTGCATTATTTACGCGAAAATAATTGTTGACAAACACAAAATACTTCCAGGAAATACTTCTTTCATATATGAAAGAAGTCTGAAAAATCACTGTGAAATAGGGTGAAGATGCTTTCACTTCATTAAGTCTCTGAGGTGTAAACCACCACCATCAGTGGGGTCAACTCATGATCAGCTGAAGAATGTGTTGGCATCTGCCCCATCACACTGGCAATGCCTTCTCTTAACACTTGCAAGCCAAGAGTTTCACAGAGAATGAGATGAAGGAAGGCCTCATGCAACAGGAATTACTGTGCCAGAATGTTATCTCGTTACTCATTCTACACTCTCAAATATTCATGTGACAGATTCCTATCTGACTGACACCATTCGTGCCAAACACTCAGAGAATTTAAAATATTACACTTCAAAGTATGTCATATCAGTTCACTAGAATAATGGATTTTGACGTTTATTTTAAGCCCTAGAAGCCCTGGAGCACTCCTGGAAAAGGGGACGCCAAATTCTGCAGGATTTCCTGCAAGTTCAGCCAAGTTCTACAAAATTCCTAGAGGCCTCCAGTGCAAACATACGGCCGAACCATGGCACTGCTCTATCCTGAATTGAACAATTTTATTGCATGATAAAATGTCTCCATGTCAGGACAGACTATCCCAATGAATCTTTCACTCACTAGCACAGTGAATGGGTATTAAGTTGAAACTGAGGGACTCCAAAGTAAAATGTAGTTGGCATTCTGTAAGCAGTTACACTGAAGAAGAAATAAGAATATCAGTTTTATTATTTCTTACGGTAAGTTTTCCAGTATTGTCAGTCCTTTTCACATCTATAGTTGATTGTAAATACCTTTTTTCTTTTTGGCAGTGCTAGATTTTGAACTCAGGGCTTCACGTGTGCTAGGCAGGCACTCTACCATTTAAGCCACATTCCCAGCCCTTTTTATTCTAGTTACTTTTTTGAATGAATAGGGTCTCATTTTTGTATAGGGTGACCAGGACCTCTAGCCTCCTATTTATGTCACTGGGTAATGGTATGACAGGCACATGCCACCGAATCCAGCTTTTTTGGTTGAGATGGGGTCTTGCTAACTGTTTGCTTAGACTGGCCTCAAACTGTGATCCTCCCAATTTCCACCACTTAAGTAGCTGGGATTACAGGCATGAGCCACCAAACATAGCTTATATGCATCTTTTTAATACCAACATTTTCACTCAAATAATATTTGAAAGTTACATATTATTCTCCCAAACATTTGAAAATACATTTGAAAGCAATAATGCAATATGTACTATGCTATATATGCTTCAACTTAGGAATACTTTCTATGAATAAGTATTAAGGAAGAGATCCATCAATCAGGTTAAATGAAATGTACAAGAATGATAAACAATCTTATTCACAGTGGTAAAAAGAAAATACTGACCCATCCTAAATGTCTCCTAGTAAGGAAGTGGAACAACCAGAAGGTTTAAAAGTAAGTTTTTAAGAAAATCTTCCAAATCTGGGAAAAGTCTCCAGATATATTATTAAAGGTATTTATTGGACACTAATAGGCAAAATACTAACACTTCATTTTGATTACCTGCCACAAATTCTAATTAAAAGTATTATTGGGAGAAAACTGATACCATTGAGTTAAAAAAAAGATTTTCCCAAATGATTTGTGTCTTGGTGCCAAAGGCCTTTTCCATAAAAGGTTTACTTTTTAGTTTTTATTTTAGTTTGAGACAAGGTCTAACTGTGTAGCCCAGGTTGGCCTCGAACTCTTGATCCTCCCAGCTCAGCCTCTTAATGCTGGGATTACAAGTCTGGCTCACTGGACACAGCTAAAACGTTTGCTTCTTTTATGCAGTATGTCTTGGTGGTACCATCACACCATGAGCTTGAGGTTGGGTCGTCCCAACTATATGGCATTACTGTATTCTCACTGACTCGCTCTACTGACTTGATATTAGAAGTATATCTATATTTTTCCTGATTTATTTCTTTTCTGGTTTTTGGCAATCTTCCCTTTCAGTGGAACACAAAAAGCAGAAGAGTTTGTTTCTATATGAGTAGATGTGAATTCTCTACGACTCTTTTTTCCAGATAAGAAATGAAAAAGATACCCAGCTCTGTGCAAATCATATAGTTACTTTGTTTTATTGTAAAACAGCTAGGGCTATGAAATATGATTCAATCTTGGAATGCCGTAATGTGTTTGATAGCCTTCTACTGCTAATCTTATACTGTTACTATTGTGGAACAAACTTGATAACAGTTTTATTCACACACCTAGGTTATTTAACATGAGAATTCAAATTAGGGAAAGAAGGCTTATGTATTATATAAATGACTATAGATAACAGTTTTGACTTACCTGTAAAAGCATTGTACATGGATATCATACATAGTATAAGAAACACTTTTTATGACACAGACTCAAAATCAGATACAATAAATAATGGTGTGAAATTGCCAAAATTACCAGAAACCTCTAGCAAATGCTGACATCAACCCTACATGTTATGCCCATTAAGTAAACAAACACTTCATAAAATCAAGGCATTTTAAATGTGTAAACTACATGGGAAAAACATGTCAAGACATCAATCTAATTGCACTATACAATTGTCAGCAAATAGTAAAAACTTATCATTGTCTCATTCGGTTGTCATAATTACTGTTCTTACACTGTCTCTTTTTCTCCTTCAAAATTCTTCCTTTTATTATAAAGAAATACCCTCAATGGGGGCAAATAACATGAAAATAAAACCAATGTAGCCATTGCAATGATAAATAAAAATTTAAAAGCCAACCTTTATTCCACTTTGAACAAGTTTGTGAATGTCCAAATAAGGCTCCTTGACCATTTCTCCTTCAGGGGTGAGGATTTTCACGTAACCTTCTTTTTCCAGGATGAAGAGACGGTGAGAGCCATCGCCACTGTGCACAGCACCCACAGGCTGTCGCAGCCCGCTCACAACCTCCTGAACACAGAAGCAGTTGTGTTTGTGTTTTCTAAACAAATTAAAGAAAATCAGTAAGCTTTTCTTGAGCTCAAGGAGGAAGAAGATGCACGCAGCATCCTTTCCAAAACTCATTTCCTCTAGAATGCAATGGTTTTGGAAATTGTGAAGTGCTGCTAACCCAAGTGTCCTTACACGAATCTGCTATCTGATTCTTTTTAAACTTTTTTAAGAGAAAAGAATAAAATGGGCTTCTCTCAAAAGTAGAAGTGAGAATCCAAAATATGTGTATTTCAAAATTTCAGAAGCTCATTATCTCATCTTTCAGTGACTGTAATTAAAATTACCTTTCACTCACAATAATGAATCCTTACAAGAAATAAAGAACCAAGAAAGTTCTAAGATCTATTTATAAAAACCTGATTTGCTAGTGATAATTGTGCTGAATATTTTTCCACAGTGCCAGAAGCTTACAACAATCATAAAATTCAAGTTCAAAACTATGCCCATAAAATTCATGAGTCATAGGGAAGCCAAGCCCCGAACCTAGGATTAGTGGGGTAAGCATTAAAAGCATTTAAGCTATGATTTTAGAGAAACTAACTACCAAAGAGAAAAAAAAAGCACCAGGAGAATATAGCTGGTGAACATAAGTACACACAGTTGAGTCATGGTCAAAACCACAAATCTGTCACCTTCTGTTTTTTTTGTTTGTTTGTTTGTTTTTTTAGATTAAAGAGCATTTATTTGTATGGACCTGGTGATCTCTTCGACTTTGTCATATTCTTCCATCTGATCCAAATAGTTAGATGCTGGTCCTCGGACCTGTTTTCTTGGGAAGTCTGGAAAGCACAACCCACCATCTTTTCTTGCATAGTAAAAGCAAAACTCATCAGCGGTTGTTTGAAGAAAACCTTTATAAAAATGAAAAAAAAGACTTGTCAGAAACATTTAGTGTTGTTGCAAACCGCCTCATTTGAAAGACATAATATATATAGCACAAGAAATTTTTAGAGAATGTATGAATTTTCCAGAAAAAAACAACTGGATGAAAAATAAAAGGAAAGGAAAAGAATTGGGAGAAGGGCTGGGATCTCCATTTCTTCTTTAGTCAAAATTGAAGAATCGCAGTACAGGGGCAGTTATTTTGTGCTGGGTATGTGAAAGGCTTGTGTGAAATGCACGTGACACAAGCCAGCATAAACCTGGTTGTCCCATTAACTCAAACTTCCTCCTTGAGCATTGGTTACACTGTGAGCTTAGCTCATCACTAAGCAGCAATTTCCCTAGTACTAAATAACTTCCTGGAAAGAACAGATTAGAATCAAAGAAGAGAAAGCCTATCAGGTGCTAGTTTGGGGCATGCTGCAAATCTTAGTGAATTGCTACTCACGTATTATTAAATAATTGATATCGCCTTAATGATGACTGACTCACAATCTTCAAGCAATGAATCAGTGCTAATAATGAAGCCTGTTTTCAAATAGATAGGAAGCCTTTTTTTCCTGCACTTTACTGATAGGTGATAGGATGATTTTGTAATACAAAAATTATATTTAAATTACCATTCCTATCTTCTCAAACAGAGAAGCTGATACACCACTGAGCCCAAACTAAAATATAAAATAGGCTTACTTAGTGGAGTGTAAAAAAAAGATGGTTTTCCTTGTCTTATATATTAAATTTTTTATCAGTTAAATACAAATCTTTAAATATGAAACAAAGACTTAATTATGACCAAAAAAAGGTTTTTTTTTTTAAGGAGGAAGGATTTATTTTGTTTAGTTTCAGAGGTTACATCTGTCATGGCAGGAAGGGCCTGGTAGAGCAAAGTAGTCTGCACCATGGTGGCCAGGAAGCAGGGAGAAGGAAAACACAGGAAGGGCAAGATATACCTCCTAAAGACATACACCCCCAAAAAAGGTTTTGATATATTTTTACAATTTGAGGTAATAAGGTTTCATAAGATCATTTCCATATTCTGTGATTTCTCTCAAAATATGATATTGTTAACAGTATCAGCTTAGACCAGACTTGGTCATTACCAGAGGACCTAAATTGTTCTTTCTGGTCTCATTTTGCTTTTATATAACAAACTAGGTTATTATAACCTTTATTAGTTTTGTGATAAAAGCACCAGGTAGCTCAGTTGACATTTAGAAGCTAGGTAACAAATTTGAATTCAGCACTGATTTCCAAGAACTTTATTTGGGGACCAGCCAAAGGAGGCTTAGCAGTGGAGCACCAAAGACACTAAAACCTTATTTTCTCTGAGCTTGACTTAGGGCCCGTCAAACCTAAAACCAGCTTTAGGATGTGAGGGCACCACATGGTTAAGACTTTTTTTATTTTGGCAGAACTGGGGTTTGAACTCAGGGCTTTGAACTTGCAGGCACTCTACCACTTGGGCCATGTCCCCAGCGTTTTTTTCACTTTAGTTTCTGCATATTTGCCTGGAATGGCCTTGGACCATGATCCTCCTACCTATGCCTCCTGAATAGCTGGGATAACAAGTGCTCACCACCATGTCTGGCTTATTTATTGATTGAGATGGATGGGGTCTTACATTTTTGCCTGTGCTAGACTCAAACTGAGATCCTCCTGCTCTTCTGTGGAGCATACTGTAAAATTCTGACATGTGAAACAAATACTCCCTGGAGAGTTTCTGAATTCTAGATTTTTTTCTTAGTATGCATTCAGGAGTTATTGTCCCTCACTGTATGTGCACTCATGATGGTAAGGAAAAAGAGGAAAAGAGCTCCAATCTCTTGTCAGAAAGGGGCTGCCGTCAAGAGCATCTTCTGGCAGAAATAGTGACTTTGGATGCATCCATCCAGTCCCTCTCAGTTGCTTTCCTTGGTACTAATGGGACACGTGTAAAGATCTGATGGAGTTAGGAGTGGCTGTGAACTGGAGAAACTCAATGGATTCAAACCCTTGACCTTGGCCTCATTAGCAACAGGATTAAACCAATTGAGCTAATTGGGTGCAGACCTTTCACACTACAATAACCCACTGCCTGCAGGATGACTGATAAAAATCATTTTGATTACAGGTATAAAGGGAGAAGGAAGGCCAGTGGACAGCCACTGGAATGCGTGTCACTGAATTGATCATCCTTTTAATGAGCCCCAAAGTTTCTGCTCTGCTCATTCATGCAAAAGAAAAGACCTGTGATTGTGCACAGTGCTCCCATGATATCTTTATGTCACTTTGGCATTTTTGGAAATTTCAGGATTTTACAGTGGGAAACAAGTAGACCATGATTCTTCTTCTTCTTCTTCTTCTTCTTATAAGAAAAACACACCCATCAGGGGTTCTTCGTCTTCAAGACTTTGATTCTGAGAAAGAAGCAGCCACTGATGAAGGCAGTCAAGTTTCTCATGAAAAAGAATCCCCAGGTAGCTGGTTTTCACAATTTTGGACTTCAGAGAAGAATAAACTGTCTCATTAAGTAGACTAAAGAAGGTGAAACTATTACAAGCTGGTTCTTATCACCATTTTGAAAAACTAAATGTTCCAGAAGTTTAAAGACACTTCTGTGTTGGTGGCAGGGATGGAGTGAGGATCAATCTGGCTCACAAATCAGTTAACGTAAGCGACTCAAAGAGTGTTATTACAGCTCACGTTGGGGACAAGTAGTTAAAGCGATGATTAGCATGTGCCTCGGGAAGGGACAGCCCTGCTGCTGGTTGCCCAAGCCTCACAGTCTCTAGAAAGCATCCTTGCGCTCCATCCACCTCCAGAGTGCAGCTTTCATCTGGTTATCTTGGAAGGCAGCCTGGGTGGCCACAAAAGCACTTGACATCTTGATGCACTTCAGCAGTTTTACATATATACAAACTTTGTAGAAAAATAAATTTGTCATTCGTCACCACACATGTGGACCTGGGGAGAGATGTGTTTGCAAGACTGGCCCCGGGCTGTTTGGAGGGCTCCCTCTTTTTGTAGATATGGTGGCTTTTTTTGGAGGGATGCTAAAATAACTTTAAATGCATAAAGACCCACATATAAGAGTCTGCAAAGTTAGCAGATTGTACTTATCTGAGTAGATAAAGGGGAATGAAAAAGCGAAATGTCGGTATCAATTTCAACTTATGCATGGAAACACAAACATTGATCAGAAGCTTGTAGCAAACCTGTACGGTTAGTCTGTTATCACTTCCCTGGAGACCTTCTAAATAGCCGTGAACTGTCCCACTGTGTTTTGGGGCATGTGATGAAGAGGAAGAAGAAAGTGTCTTAGGAACATGGCTATAATTTATAAAAACAATAATCTTTTCACACTGAATGGGTTTAGGTCCATGTGGTGCTATCCCCAAAGGGAGGAAGCAATCCTAATCAAAATGTTTTTTTTCTTATAGAAACATTTATAAGAGAATCCTATTTAAAATAAAAATGGACATTTTTCTAGATCAGAAAAAGCTAAAATGTATATAGCAGTTAAAAAACAAACAAAAAATTCTAAGCGCCCCTCCAGTTCTTAATGCCTGACTTTTCCTTAAATTGCACTGATTTTGATAAATTGCTAATGCCAGATCTATTTGTGTCACTTTGCCTACCTAAACAGACTGTGTCTCATTAAATTCTTTTCTTCTTCCACTTTCATTATTCCAATTAAAGCAAAAACAACCCAAGTTCACAAGGTTTTGATGGTGAACTTAATCAATGCCTATTGATCTATATGTTTATTAGAGTCTGAAATATGATGGTGACCAGTTGTGTTCGTGATACTGTATGAACAGGAGCTCCATATCTACCCCATTACCTGCTCAATGTACACCTTTGAATGAGGCAGGTAACTTCTCCCAAGGGGCAGTTTTTCTGCTGTGTCCAATGGCAAGGACTCCACCACTCCTACCTTCTCCACAGGGCTTTGGAGAATAAATTAGTCATTTAATGAGAAAGTGCTCTGGAAGATGTTACTTTTGGAGATTCTTGTAATAGGTAAAGAACTATCTTAAAAGTTGGTGGACATTCTTCGATCATGTATCAGTTGTGTAGAAGATGAGGCTGACTTGGTATTGATCCCAGGAGGTAAAGAAGCCCCAACAAGAGATTTGTACCAAGGCAGGGTGTAGCTCAGTGGTAGAGCATGTGCTTACCAGGCAGGCCCTGTATTGACTCCCCAGCACGCACACACACACACACACACACACACACACACACACACACACACACACACTAACAAAAAAGAACTTTGCGCTTTTTCCAATGTGTACGAAGCTTACCACCTGCATTATGATTTAGGAAGAAATGTACATTGAAACATTACAATAGCTTGGTGCCTGTAGCTACTTGGGAGGCTGAAATCAGGAGGACTGTGGTGTGAGACCAGCCAGGGAAAATAGTTCGTAAGCCCCCATCTCCAAAATAACCAGAGTAAAATGGACTGGAGGCATGGCTCAAGTAGTGGAGCTCCTGCTTTGCCCTGAGTTCAAGTCCCAGTTCTACCAAAACAAAAACGAGTATACTGTTTGTAAACTGACATTGCCATATTTCTTTTTTACTGGCAAAAAAGTTCAGGGCATTGGAAAATTTACTTATACAGTAAAATAGGTATTTGAAAGGTGAGATACATTTTATAACTCTTATACACAAACATTAAAGATCTGGTAACTTATCAGGTTATTTTGCAATGGTTTATTTAATTTGTCCTTTTTTGTGTGTTGTTACCTGGAATATGGCCTCGGCAGGTATAAAAGAATTCTTTGCAATAGTCTTTGCAGAGCAGGGGAAGTATGAGTTCTCTTTCCAAGACGTCTCTCTCCGGTGCGTGGAACAGACTCTGGGCATGTGGAGAGCAAGGTGCACACTTGATTTCTTCCAGCAACTTCCCACACTCTGTGTTATTGGTTGTGGAAAATATCTGAAAGCCATAAGTCAGAAGCAAATGTCTTTGAAGGTAAGTTTGGTCTCTTTTTAAAACCATGTAAGTAGAAAAGTCTAATTCAGACAATGAAATTTTCTGAAAAGAATTATTGTGCCATAATACAGGATACCTTTATATAGATGCAAGTTTTCACTGGGGCTGGGAGAACAAGTCAGGGCCATGCAAAAATGCTTCCTACCCTTTCGAATCAAAGTCTCTGAATCTGTCTTTCAGGTGTGAAAAAATTAAAAGACAATTATATTTAGACCGTTTAATGGTTTATTACTTGCTTCTGTCTCAAAATATATACTGAATCATATTAAACTGAAGAAATTCTAAGTGCCTCTATCCACCTGCATCCAAAATGCAAGTTTTAAAGAACTGGCTTATTTATGTCTTTCATTCCTGAAATTTGTAATGTGATATTTTCAAAACTATTCTTGAAAATATTTTAAAATATTTCTATTAATTTTCAATCTGCAAACTTCAGAGTGAAAGTTTTCTAAACTGCCTCTTAAGTTCTACAAAAATACCCAAAGCTGATCAGGCAGGTCTAAGACCTATTTTTAATATTCATTATATTTTGGCCAGGAAAAACTTTCTGAGCAGCTCCTCAGGTACATTCTATGTATGATTAATAAGCACAAGTGTTTAGTGAAAGTGCTTTTGTATAGTAGTCAGTGGACCTTAATGAAAAAGGCATACGTTTTTATTATTGTTATAATGACAGGTCTTTTATTTCAGCAAGACCAATTTGGGACTTAATGATTCATTGGTGCTAGAAAGTAGTAGATAGAACTAGTCTAAGTTTGAAAAACTGACTTCAGAAGTCCTTTTAGTATTTATAGAAAACAATATTAACACAATATTTGAGAAGGGTGGTGCTACCTAAATCAAGCATTGAATTTTCATGCATAATGCACAATAATGGGAGTGAATTTTATACTTTTTTCAAGTCATATAACTACATTTCTTCTCATTTCTTTGGAACTGTGCACTAAAATGAAAGTTTTAAACTCTAAATCCTTGTTTCAAGCAACTACTTCATTCACAAGTTAAGCTTCTAATTTGAGTAAATAATATGGCTTTTGTTTTTCATGATTATGACATTACAAAGATTATAAACAACTGGATGGAAAAGAGCAAGATAAAGCAAGAAAAAAAGCATTGAACAGAAGCATGCTGAAATTTGACATGCAGTATTTAAAAGTTCAATAGAAGTTAATCTATTTCAGGAAAAAAAACCCTGTATGATATGTTGCAGCTCTCTACAATATTCAGAAAAGTTATTATTAGTCACAATTATACTTGCACTTTTATTTTTGTTGATTTTTTAAAATGACAATTGCTTAAATAGTTAAAGTTTTCTAAAAGGAAACATATACCAGACACTTAGAATTTGCATTCCAAGAATGTTTTAAATGTCTTTTATTATCCATACTCTGACAGACCTCAGCAGCTCTATTCAATATTAATAGTGTTCAACTTCCTTCTGTTTATTTACCATGCAGCAGTTCACCAAGAGCAAAACAACTGCAGAATGCTGAGGCCACCTCTTTTGCTATCTGAAACTGGACTGGAATTACCTTTGGTTCTATGGAGACGATGCATACTTCCTTTTTTTTTTTTTTAATAGCAGAGACCAAATGACCCCAGTACTCTCTCCCAGCTGCTATCCAGGAAGGGCGCTTGATGTTAGTGCCTAAAGAATTTTGTCTTTTACAATTTTTGGAATGTGTCCTGGCCACAAGATCTCTCATCAAAAGCTTCAGAAATAGGATTCAATAAATTATCTGAAATCAAGTATAATATTATTCTTTTTAAAGTTTCATGCTGTTCCGGCCCAGCAGGATGGTAACATTTTGCTCTGTGTGAGGTCTACAGTGTAAATACCTATTTGAAGATAGATAGAACCATCATTTTGGCTTTGGTTTTAATGAACCAATAGTCTTACTGAAGTCAATTAAACTGGCTGAACCCAAGCTGCAACACTGGTTTAGACAGATGAGGACCTGTGTGGGTGGGAGAGGATGATTTTTTTCTTTCTTTCTTTCTTTTTTTGGTCCATGTGTCTGTGTCCACACAGGTCCTTAACTTTATGTCTGACAATACCATCAATCTTAAGAAGTTTAGCAAATTTCCTGTTTTGATTTTTTTTTTAAAGCCAAATACAAAACCATCAAATTATAGTGGTTTAAACTAAATATACTTTGAGAATCACGTAGAACTTCAAAACATTATTACAGCCTCCTAATGATTGTGGCTGTTGCTGACTAATTTGTAACAGCTGGCAGGTCATCCTTTAATCTTGGGCCACAAGAAAGTGAAATCCATAGAAGAAAGGTAAGATAAATATTGGAATACAGAATAAAGCATGGCCTACAACTATAGCTTATCAACAAACAGTAAAATGGTGACAGAGACCTTCTGTATTTCTCTTTATTTATCAAGTAACTAAACAAAGAGGGTAAAAAGGCACCCACGTGGGTTTGATGAAGGGACAAAAGGAGAAAATCCATGACAGTATATTAAGATGTCGCTGTAAGATCACTTAGTACACAAAAAGTTATTTCTAAAAGTCATATGCCTACAAGGTTGTTCAGCTGTTGGGTAGAACACATGCGTCTCTGGACTATAGTGCTGGATTATGTCATTAAAGAGTTCAGTTTCAATTTTAGGGTAATATGTAAATAGATCATTGTACTAAGGCAGCTGTTAAAGGGACCCCAGGATGAGTTATTTGTTTAGTTGGATATGTTCAACAATAGCCTTTGTCCCTGAAAGAGCTAGAGCAAACAAGTGATTGTAAAAGGGCACACTTGAAAACAATTACTTTTCACCCATTTCTTGACAGCTTTGGCTGTGAAACCACCCAAGGGAGAGAGAATTTTTGTGCCTCCGTGGCTCCAAGTTGAGTTTTAAGAAATGGGGGCATTTCAGTGGATCGCAGATTCAATTTGGTTAATGGGAATTATATCCTTTTAGCATGCTGGATTGAGGAGCTGCAAAAATATTGCTAAGACAATGTAACTTCCTCAGTTTGGGCAGTTTTTGTTTGTTATGGTAGTTGACAAGCTTATTACATTACATAACAGTATTAAAACATACAAAGATTAAAACATAAGAGGGTAAGCAACATCACGTGTAAGGAATTGAACTCAATGCTAGCTTATTAAAGACATTGGATTTAATTGCACATCTGAGCATGCTCAGTGTTCCTACCTAGTTTGTTACTATCTACTTGTCTAAGAAATTTCCTCCTTGGGGTAAAAGCTACTAGTGTAGTTTCTTGAAAAGCTGCAGAAATGTGGAAATCTTTCCTGGGGAAATTTTTTTTTTCTTTCATAAACGAAAAAGGTTCTCATCTCTCCTGTATACACATTATAAAATAAGACCCTAACATATATTATAATCCAGGAAGGCTTACGGTGGGGGGGGAAGGAAACGCTGACATTTATTATAAAATAACATGTTTTAAGAACTATTAAAACTTGAGAACTAACATAGGTTGAGAATGCATGTGCATGGCCAGATCAAATCTCTGTTTGTAACAATCTGAGTATTGTTGCCTTATAAACTACTTAAAGCCTAAGTACCCAGCTTAATTCAGACACAGTTTTCCTAATGAGTAGGGGTTTGTTGGCTACTGAAAGCACGTAAACCAGAAAGGAATGTGGATAGCTAACGTGGCAGATTGCTTCCTAAAGAATGATTCTTTTAAAAAAAATTTTTTTTTATATAGCTTTTCTTAAGGGTTCTAACTCCCCTTGGTCCCGCCTCCCCTCCACTATATTTAGCTAAGAATGGAGTTTTCAAACCACATGTTTCTTTCTGGAAGACGTCAGTGTTACAGGGGTCTCCAGATCATCAGTCTACTCAGCACACAGCAACAGGGGACACTTCGTGGCAAATATTTCTAAACCTTTCTCTGAATTTCCTGGTTCTTTGAGGGTCCTGTTAAAATCTTTGAGATGATCTGAATGGAGCTGTTTTGTATTCTTAATTCAATTACAACACTGAAGCTTAATGACACTGCTTTGAATAAAATGTTGGAATATCTGTTCCCTGCATCTCAGCATACTGCTGCATATGGGAAGAATAAAGGGTGAGTTGCAGCTGAAAACCTGTAGCCGGACAGTTCTCACTCATCTGGGAATAGAGTTGGACAAATGCTCCCTCAAAAGACACGAACATTTGGACAGAGCTGGGGGGGACTGAAAGAGAATGATGTTCTCTAGTTTCACCCATTAGTGAACCAACTAACAAATACAATGGTGGTGTTGTTATTCTTTTGCCATAAGCAACAGGACTCTGTGTGTGGGCGCAGTTTAGAGGAGAGGAGAAGTCGACCTCTTTTTGTCCTATTGATTTTTTCCTATTTGCATGACTTGAGCAAATTAAATGATGCAATATGGCTTTTTGTTACAAAACAAAGTGAGAGATACCACCCAGACACATATGTTGATTCGTAGGAGCTGTTTACATGAGAATAGAGTGAAATCTACCGTGAACTGAGCATAAAAATTAGATTCAGCCTGGGTATTCTTTTTTTTTTTTTTTTAATGCCTGGGCCAGCAAGACTGAAGCACGTTTTCTGAGTCTCTCCGACCTTGACAACTGCAGTGTGGTAACAGAGGAATTCTTAATTAAACCTAAAAGGGGGAAAGGGAGGGGGAGCAAAGACACCTGATTGTTTATTTCACGTGCAGGGATTGTTAAGGACGTGATACAGCCGCCTTCCCTGGGAGTACAGTAGACAGCACACATTACTGCGTCCCATGGAGACACCCTCGCTGCAAACTCAGGACCGAGCACGTCCTTGCACTTAGCGGACACTTCTACTCCGTTAAATTGATCAACCCAAGGGAAATGTAATGCCATCACTCTACAGAGCAAGTTCCTAGGCATCCTCCTAGACAATTCACTACCACGGAAAGCCTGAATTTAAATTACAGAATAACGGAGAAGCGTCTCCGTGTTGGGTGACAGACACGCTCCACCAAAAATCCCTCCTGCCAGGTTTTCAAGTTCTTAACAGGAGGTCCCGGGAGTTCCTCGCCGCAGGTTTAACTATTGTCATGCAAGACACCCCCCTCTGACCGGGGCCGGGGATCATAAACCAACCACGCTACAGCATCCTTTTACCGTTCCGTCTCTCTCAACGAGCACGTGGAGAAAGCTGCACAAATCTTTTTTTACTCTAGAAAAAGCAGCAGGAAACCACAGCCACCTTAATTTACAGTTTCACCGCAGCCAATGCCCGACTGGATCCAAATCACACTGTTAATCGCCATTCTTTTCAAACATTTACCCAGCCCCTGGGTGTGGGTACCACAGAAGCGACTCTTTTCTGAGACAGGCAAGTTCGCACAGCATCGTGACCGCGGATTCTGGGGGCGGGGGCGCTACGTGCGCACCCCAGAGGCGCACAAGAAGGCGTCAAGTTAGCACGTTCGGAAAGTTATCAGAACATCCTGAGCAAGTCTTGCCCCCTCCTCCAGCTGCCATCTTCGCCCAAAACAAACAAACAAACAAAAACCCACAAAGACAACAGAACAGGTAACACCACCAAGCAGGATGCCAAAGTTCGCATCCACAAGTCCGCGAAGTACCTACCTTGTTCTCCAGGCGACCCAGTCCCAGGCTGTCACTCTGCAGGCAGCAGGACAGCCGAGGGTAAAAGCCACCGCACAGGAGCTCCCCTCCACCCAGCAGCTCCAGCTGGGACATCATCCGCCTGTCTCTCCTTTTCAGGCGCTTCGGGGGGTTCCCATTCAGACACCTTCTCCTCCTCACTCCGCTGCCTTCGCTTCTGTCCCCAAACTTAGCATCTCCTTCAAAGAAGCCCAGAGCCACGGCCAGCAGCAGCAGCAGCTTAAAGGACAACATCTTGAACATCGTCTGCCGGGAGTGGCAGGAGCTGCACGCGGGAGGGTGGGGGGGGAGGCCACTGCCCAGCAGGGGCACTAGGGCGCTGCTCCAGGAGGAGGCTGCGGGGCGGCGGGACACTAGAGAGCCAGAGGGAGATGGCAGGGGCGAAACTAGGTAGAGCGATGCAACTTTGCAAAAAGTCAAAGACGAGGCGATGGGTCCACAGCCTGAGATCAAGTGGCGCAGATGACAGCGTTTGCGGCCGTGCCAGTGTCAGATGGGTTAGGGGCTTTCCGCTGCTGCCGGGAAGTGGGAGGAGGAGAAGGAGTTGGAAGAGGAGGAGGAAGGAGAGAAGACGGTCATAGAGGTTCACGGGTCCGTGTAACGGGAGCTGTTTAGGTGAGACAGTAGCAGGAACCGAGTCGGCGGCGGTGGTGGCGGGGCAGGCGGACGCAGGGCCGGCGCGGGGCTCCAGATGATGCTCGGGTCTCCTCTGCCGGCGGCTGCAGCTTCGCGCACAGCCTCTCATGTTTCGCTCCCTCTTTTCTTCTTCTTTTTAACCAGCGCGCGGGGAGGTGCTGCCACCGCGCGCCCCTTGACGTCACCGCTTCTCGCGCGCCCCGGCCCGGGTGGGTGGCGGTGGGGGGGTGGGGAGAGGAGGGGGCGGCCCCCGGGCGGGCGGGCGACAGGGAGGGGACGGAGGGAGGGAGGGGGCGGGGCGGTGGAGCCTCCCGGGCCAGCCTGGAGCGCCCGCGTCCCTGCGCGCCAGCGGTGCCGCCGCGCCTAGGTGCGGGCGTCCGCGGTGCGGGTGCCCTTGCGGCCTGCGACCCAGGCGCGATCTTGAGATGCCGGCTCCTCTCTCCCGCGCGCATCGCTCCGCACAACCCGGCCAGAGGCGACTGCGCTGAGGCTCCTAGACCAAGTAAGGGTGGGCCCGGGGAGGTGAGGAGGGAGGGGCTCTTTGCAGGGCTTTGCCACCCTGGTCCCTACTCCTGGGATCGGGGCAGGATGAACTCAGTGGGCTGCAGCTGGAGCGGCGTGTGTGTTGGGGGGAGCTTCTCTGCTCCCTCTCCCGGCTGGCACGACACCACCTGGTCCCCACTGATCCCTGAGTCCGATTTAGAGGTGTGGGGGTGGAAGGGAGGGGGAACATCCTAGATGCTGCGGGTCTCCCCAATAGGATGAGATGGTTTGGAGATTGTTCCGAAAAGGACCACCGATCCTTGCCAAAGTTTCTGCAAACTACTGAAGTGCACAGACGCGTGCATGGCTTAGGGTGGGGTGGCGTGAGAGGGGACAGGGGTTGAGCCCGAATCTGTTTTCTGGAGTTTGTCCTGTATGGGGCAGGTTGGCCCAGGACTCCGGTTTCGAGAGCCTGACTTAGGCTCCAGACTAAATCGCGCCGGGCAGACATCTGTCTCAGGGTCTTATGCCCCTAGGTGGGCTGAAAGAAGCTGGCAGCGCAATCTCTCTCTCTCTCTCTCTCTCTCTCTCTCTCTCTCTCTCTCCTCTCTCCCTCTCCTCTCTCTCTCTCTCTCTCTCTCTCTCTCTCTCTCTCTCTCTCTCTCCCTCTCCCTCTCTCTCTCTCCTCTCTCTCTCTGTCTCTCTCTCTCTCTCTCTCTCTCTCTCTCTCTCTCTCTCTCACACACACACACACACACACACACACACACGCTCCCTGGGGTATAAAAATAGAGGTGTTATTTCTGGAGAAAGAATTAATTACAGGTGTGCAGGCGTCCAGACGTGCTATGCTAACCCAGCGTACCCCAACGAACGTATATAAATAAAATAACTTTTACCCCAGCCAAATTGTGCAAAAAATGTTTCTAAAAAGATGTCAACATTATGAAGAGCTGTGACTTAGTATTTACTGAATCCCTGCAAGCTGGCATGGGGACAAGCCCCTGGGTGGGGGGAGAGTGTGCACACAAAGTGTACTTTTTGTCCATTTGGGTATGAATCAGGGGAGCAAACTTCCTGGAAGGAGTACTTTTGATGAGGAGATAAGGCAGGTTTCCCATTTTGGCAATGGAGGAACCTTCACCATATTTGGATTTGATTCACTTCTTGGACACAGATTTTTCTAAGCTCCTGTGAAAGTTGGGGATGGTTGAGGTGAGTAGCTGATTAAGATAACTATTTTTAAAGTGATGGGAGTGGCTAGGTGTGCCTTCTGTCCCTTTCACTTTCTGGGCCTTGATTTTTTATTTAGGAATGGAATGTTTGGCTCTGTCCTCAGCTAAAAGCAGGACCAGGCAGCATAACTTAAAACTGTCCCCTAGGCACTGTTACACACATCTGTGTACATGTGATTGCAAATTCTAATTTGGACCTCATAGACTGTTTTATCTGACATTCTTCCTGCTTAAAACACTTAATATATAATAAATTACCATAGATCCTTCTCACTTACTAGATCTTCAGGTGAAGATCAGCAAGATTAAGTCACTTGCCCAATGTCGTGGAATTAGGTAGCTTGAAAACCAGGATCCAGGAGCCTAATCTAGGGTGCTCTCCATTATCAAGACTTAATTCTCAAATGCCAGTTTTGTGTTCTTTCTCCAAAGTTAAAATCATATTGCATTGGTTCAAGCTCTCACGCTAAGTGATAAATTCACATTAGTGTTTTGATGGTTTGTACTTCAAGACTAAGGACACTTACAGTAAATTAATATTGGTTTTACAAAATTATCTGTCTGTCATAAACTGGGACCTTAAATTTCAAGGTAGAAATTTACAAAGGATTCCTGAAATGAGACATGCTTCTTCTTTCTTGACACATGAGAGATAGAATCGATCCCACCTACAATTCATAGCGAAAGTCAAGTAATTGGGCTACTTATGAGATAGCTGAGTTAATACCTAGTGCCACTGATATAATTTCCAAATAGTCTCTGTGCATGTTACCCAAATGAACTAACAAAAAGTCAAGTAATTGGGCTACTTATGAGATAGCTGAGTTAATACCTAGTGCCACTGATGTAATTTCCAAATAGTCTCTGTGCATGTTACCCAAATGAACTAACTTCAGATTTTTTTTTCTCCAGAGTGAAAATTATAAACTTCATCCACAGTCCAATGGACAGCCTAAGTTCTTGGGACTCAAGAGTGAACACAGGGTTATTTCTTAAGATTAAACATTGAAAGCCCCATTGGAGACTGCAACAGGGGAGCAGTTGCATCCACACACTTGGACATGAAAAGTCATCCTCCACCAGGAAGTTCTCCCTCTTCAGCCATACCTCCGGGAGTGGTGAAAAGACAGGACCTCTTTCTGACCAAACTCTCAGATGAATCCAATCAGACCTTTTTTAAAAGAATGGAGCTGCGCAAGAGTGACTAAGTTACCATCTTTTGCCACCAATGTGTAGGTCGTACCCTGTCCCAGGGCACCTCAAGTGGGAGCTGAAATCCTGCCCAGGCTCCACTCACCAAGCATCAATATCAATGTGTCTACCCAAAGGAAGTGACTCCCTTTCTTAGTTTGCACCTCATAATGGGCTAGTGTGGGCTCTGATCCTGTATCCCATACTCCAGTCCTATCTGAGGTTAATTCCTGACTCTGAAGGAATAAATGATTCTCATGAACAAATTAGGTTTATTGTAAAAGATGTAATATTGACAGAAATTGAAATTAGCTTCATAGGTAAAGCTAAAAATATTACTATGCGTGTGAATTATTTATAGATGTGGAAGTGTGTATATGTATACTTAGTGGATATGCATTAAAATTTAGTACAATCTTAAAAAATAAAAAAAAGTTAGGACAACTTAGCTTTGTAAATGTTTAAAATAATTTGGGGTTTTAAAATCAGTTTTGTATATAGATTTATGCCTTAATGAAATATGTACTATTTAATTCCATTCCAACAGATATTGAGTGCCAGTGTGGTAAGTAATATGCGTATAGTAATGAAAAATTACACAAACATCCTGGCTCTAGATAGTTAACAGTCTAGTAAGGAAGACGTATGACCAGGTCACAAAGAAATTTACTATTATAAATCGTGATAAGCGCTATGAAGGAAATGCCAAGGTGGAGAATAACAATCTATTTTAGATTAAGTGGCTGAATAAAACCAATTTGGAGAAAAGACATTTCGGTTGAGATCAGAGGATAAATTGGAAGAAGATTATGAAGTAACTCCACCCTGCCATTTAAAGTAGAAGCATTTGAGTTCAGAATAAAATTTGATATATTTAAGAGAACATACAGAATAAAGTCAATTTTAAAAAGTAAGAAAAGAGAGGTCAGAGGCCAAATCCACAGTTATGTAGTTCACAAACTCCAGGTAAACAACACAGCTACATCCATGTACTTGTCATTTGCTTTTGCAAGAACTTTCTTTCTTTATCCTCATCCATCTTCATCTTTCTTTAAATATTGACTCTTCTAGTAATTATTCTAGTTGAATATTCAGCCATTGCACCTTATTGAAATGCGTACCACATTTATTTTCATGTGCCCCTTTTGATAACTGACAGAGACTTTCATACATGGGAATCAAATACTGGCAAGACTGTAGGGGCCACAAGAGAGGAAATACATTTCTTCTTTGGTCACCCTGGCTAAGTCTAGTTTAGTCACATGGTGCAGTGACAGCCTCTCAATAAATACTACTGATTGTGCAATCTTGTTTTATATGATACTTTTTAAAGGCTTAAAATGGAAGAAATATTTACATTATAAAATCTTTTCATGTTTAAACAGAGGGAATGCACAACTGAAAGGATGATCTTGCACAGAACAATGACTGATGAGGCCAAAGAATACACAGCTTTGAAAATTTAAGACTAGTTCTCATTCAAGCACACTGACTGGCACAGTGGCAAGGTGGCTGTTGAAGGGTTTCTATAGTTATTCAGTCTTTCTTTTTAAAGTCAGCATTGGGGTGCCAGTGCTCTGGGCTCTGGATACCTAGCAGTGAGCAAAATTTATGGAACTTGTTTTAACAGAGGATACAGATAAGAACTTGATATGGACTATACCAGATGGTGACAAGTGCTGTAGAGAAAAGGAATCACGAGGAAAGAGTGTGCAGGGGTTGAGAGAAATAATCATTTTATAGACATTGTAAGAAAAGGTGTCTATTGACAATCTGTTTAAACATCCTTGAAGTGCTATAAGCATAAAGAAGAGCAAGTCAAGAGAATGAAGCCAGCAAACCTGGTATGTTCATGGATTAGCAAAGAGGTCCACATGACTGGAGCAGAGTGAGTAAGAAAATGACAAGAATGAGGACACATTGTGTAGGGTCTTGTACGCTATGCTCGGGATGTAGGCTTTTACTGTGAATGCGATAGTTTTTGTTAAGGGGTGTTATCAGAAATAAGCTGTTCTCTATTCCCATGGAGTAAATGAAATATAAGGAACTGGGTAAGTGGGTGTTGGAGGACTGAAAAGGCAAGAAGGAAACCCAGATGTGAACTAAGAGTAATGACAGGAAGCTCTCCCATCCCTAAGGACTGAGGAACCAGGGAAGAGTTGGGCTGACAGAACCTAGACGTTTATCCAGAACCCTCAAGGAATGGTGGAGATGGAGCTCCGTAGGTGTCAATCCCTCCATGATTGGAATGGGGCTGATTATGGGAGTGCTGCAGGCAAGTTGGAGAGTTACCATTTGCCCCAACCAGATGCATTCCCTACCTCGATCTGCCATAAGAAACACTACTAACTA